GCCAACTTTTTGTCTTCTTCTGCTCGGCCTCCAGTACCCGACACCCCTACCACTACTTGAGTGGTACCGGCCTACCTGCTACTTGAGTGTTTTTCTCCGCTGTTCTAAGTGTCGCGGGCCTATCCCCGCTACTTGAGTGTTTCCCCCCCTGCAAACCTCAAAGTCACGGCCACAAGTAAGTACCGGCCCTGCGGGGCCCTTCAACCAACAAGTACCCTTGCGGGTCACACACACACTCAGCCGACAAGCACTTAGACAGGCATGCAAACCAGCAGGCACGCACACACACAGACATGGAAATCACAGCAGAATGCGGGAATTTCAGCAAGGCATTCATTCCAGTTGCAAATCCCAGAAGTCAGCAGTGTTCTCAGTCTGTGTTTTTGGCGGGTCATTACACTACCCCCCTCTCAAGAGCGAGGTCCCTTCGAGCGAGTAACTCATCCAGAGTTGGCACAAAATGCATCGTAGGAGTAAATCAGGAAGAGAGACTAAGTAAGTCTGTGAGGAGTCGTTTCTGCAACAAATTTAGCAGTCTGTCCCTCAGCGATCTGTCGTTCATAAGCGCTCACAACATGGGGAGCATTCTTTAGCAACTCTTTTCGGTCGATCCAAAAGAATTCAGCCAACGGGTGATAAAGGAAGTGAACCTTGTAATTTCTGTTCCTCCCTCTTCCCTCGTGAGAAACGATTCTGTCTATCTCATGGCCGCCGTCGATAGAGCAAGGTATCATAACGTCTCGGAAGGGAAAAGTCTCATCATCAATGTGTGGGAACAATTTGGACTCGTGAAAGACCGGATACGTGCGCAGATGAGGAGGCACGTTAATCACATATAAAGGACCAAAATCATGCCCAATCACCTTCAGAATCTGCCAAGGGCCATAGTACAATGGAAGAAGCTTTCGTGATACGCCCTTTTTATCAGAAAACTCAGACATTTTGACCCAAACATAATCCCCTACTTTGAATTTTGCTTCTTTGTGCAACTTGTTAGCATGTTTGATCATGGCATGTTGGCGCTTGTTCATAGCTGCAATAATAGCTTTGAGCAAGCGTGCGTACTTGGCATTGTAGCCAGGCATGCCGGACAGTAGACCAGGTGATCGTTCGGGGAACAGATAGGAGAGGGGATTACGCATCGGCCATCCGTATTGCAATTGGTTTGGTGTCACACCAGTTGCAGAGGGAATGGAATTGTTGTACAGTCCCTTCACCTTGTGCAACTCCTTGTCCCACGTGTTTTGATCTGGCACAATCAATGCGCGAAGTAGTTGTATGACAGTCTGGTTGATCTCCTCAGCCAGTCCATTGGCTTCGGGGTGTCGACCAGGAGTCTTGTTGAGTTTAATGTCGTAGATCTGAGAAGTGAAGTCATTCCAATCTTTACTAATGAATTGGGTGTCCCGATCACTCACAATGGTTTTCGGTTGGCCATACTGCAGAATATACTGCTGATGGAACTCTTCGATGACAAGCTCAGTTGAGGCATGGGGAGGGAAAGGAATCAAGTTCAGAAATTTGGAGAAACGGTCCACGATGACCATGACTTGTGAATTCCCTGCCTCACTCACCTTTCCCATGTCCGTGAAGTCGATGGAAATCGACTCACCGGGTCCATCAGGAATGGGGAGGGGTCTCAACAGGCCATAAGGCTTATGCTTGTGGACCTTGATTCTTTGACATACTTGACATTCAACAATAAATTTCTGAGCAGATCCTTTCATCCCCGACCAATCAAACTGCTGCAGAAGACTTCCATAAGTCATCTCAAAGCCGAAATGTCCACTCCAACCATGTGCCAAATCCAAGAAATGAGTTCGGAGAGGCGCATGGTTGGGTACACACAAGCGATCAAACTTCCCATACCGGCGGAATACAAGACCCTCGCATTCATGAAAATCAGGCTGACGGTTAGGGTCATCCTTGAGCTGCTAAAGGATGGGACTACGGTCCGGATCCATGGTGGTGTGTTCGACCAGATCCTCCTTCAGTTTCCTTCGGAGGTCATACGAACCCACAAGGCAAGTCAAAAACTCAGGATGGCATGATAGGGCGTCAGCAACACGGTTATAACAACCTTTCTTGTGTTTTGACTCAAAACTATAGACATCAATGTCATGCAACCAGCGGGTCAGTGTAGGAGAGAGTTCAGTTTGTGTCTGAATCCACTGCAAGGTCTGATGATCTGAGTAGACCTTGAAGTGACGACCCAAGAGGTAGCGCTTCCAATGTGCGAGCGCCTCACGCAAGGCGTAGAGCTCACGCATGTACGTGGAGGTAGCTACCTTGTGGCTGGGCATGCGTTTGCTGTAATACTCGAGCGGACGCAGGCCATCACCATCATCTTGTTGCAGCACTGCACCAATCCCAAACTGGCTCGCGTCCGTAGTGACTACGAATGTGAGGTTGGGATCCGCAATGCGGAGCACAGGATGACTCACCAATGCCTCTTTCAAGGCTTGGAACACAGTCTCACATTTCTCACACCACGCATAAGCAACATTCTTACTTGTTAGTCGCGAGAGTGGGTGAGCAATGACAGAAAATTTAGGCACAAACTTCCGGTAATATGAGGCCAAACCAAGAAAACGCAGTTCGCGTACGTTTGCTGGTTGACGCCAATTTCGTATGACCTCAACCTTGGTTGCCTCCGGCTCAAGGCCGTTTGCAGACAACCGGTGCCCAAGATAGATGACGCTGTCCCTTCCAAACTCAGATTTCTCTTAGTTGAGGTGCAACTGTGCCTCCTTGAGGACTTGCAAGACCTCCTCAAGGTGCTTAACGTGCTCTTCCTTGGACTTGCTGAAAATCAGGATATCGTCAAGGTACACAACCACAAACCTGTTGAGCTAATGGCGGAGTACCTTCTCCATGAGGTACTGAAATGTGGCTGGCGCATTCGTAAGACCGAAGGGCATAACGATGAATTCGTACAGCCCATCGCGTGTTTTGAATGCAGTTTTGTGCTGGTCACTCGGATCAACTTCAATCTGGTGGTAGCCAGACTTGAGGTCGATGTTGGAGAAGACCTTGCACCCACCTGCATCATCTAGCAAATCATCTATACGAGGCAAGGGATACGCGTTCTACGGTTTAGGCCACGATAGTCAATGCACATCCGGTGTTTGCCTCCTTTCTTTGGCACAAACAGGACAGGTGCACCAAACTCAGACTCACTAGGCCTAATCCATCCACGGTCGATCATGTCATCAATCTGCCTCCTCAACTCCTCCAACTCGCGTTGTCCCATACGGTAGACGCAACCATTTGGAGGAACACTCCCTTCTATTATCTCGATCTTGTGTTTGACCGGACGCTCGGGAACTCCACGAGGTTCGGCCAGAAGTTCAGGGAATCGATCTAATAAACCGCGAATGTTTGTTGGGACTTCTGGTGGAGGATCATCCTCATCAGGAGAAAAAAAATCAGAACGAGAATTTACAGCAATTACAACTGGATTCGAAGTACTTGGATCAGAAGTAGAAGGATTATCCACAGTAGAAGTAGATGGAATAGAAGTAGAGGTGGTAGAAGTAGAATTACTTACCGAGGTAGAAAATGCAGCAAAAGTAGAAGGCATATGGAGAGGCTTTACAAGAGCTATACGTACATACTCACCTTCCTTGTGCCTGCGCACTGATTTGCAGAATTTGTTTGCACTTAGAAGAGTCACAGGGGACTCGCGCGTCTCATCCAATAAGACGGTACGAACGGACACTTGTCCATGACATAAAAGTTGAGCTCATGTGTGACAGTGCGGTCCTTGTCAAAGGTGACGCGCATACCTCTGACAGCATGTGTGGAGGTGACAACCTCTTGGTTGCCCACCTGAGTCTGACAAGGGTTCTGCAGTTCCATTTGCTTCATTCGCAGGCCCGCCTTACGAATCCCGTTAGGAGAAAAGAAGTTGGTGGTTGAACCACTATCAATCAACACGCGGATGTATCGGCGGTTAATGAGCAGTTTAAAGAAGGTTAGCTCCACACTCCCTTGAACAAGGCGTTGCTGCTTGAGCTGCAGCCAATGTTCCAGGTGAGCGTGGAAGTCAACTTCCTTAGACTCCTCCCAAGGCTTAGTGTATAACACATGGACTGCAGCAGCCTTGGATTCAGCGTCGTTCCGGGCTTCAAGAGTAGGCTGTTGATCAAATTCAGGCTCATCGGAGGGGCCTGCAACTGATGTTCCAGCTTCCCTTGTTGTAGGGAGTGCTGATGACTCCTCTACGCCCTTTGCCTGTTTCCCTGAAGTCTATAACAGTCCTGCACAACATGCCCACGCTTTTGACAATGCAAGCATATGCGCAGTTTAGATCTTCTTTCCTTTCTTTTGACCGATACGGAGGGCTTCCCAAGGCTTGGTAGATGCGTCCTCCGGTTTCTCAGGGATCTTCGCATTCTTGGGGAGGTGGACAACAGTTCCCTTACCCGAACCACGGTTAGACCCCTTGTTTGAAGCAGTCTTTTTAAACGCATTAAAGTTTTCATCTTCGTTTACGTCAGACTCAATGGCTGGTGTGGAACAACCCATATCGGAGTCCGGCTCTAGATCGTCATCTAGAGACAGATCATCCGCGTAGGACTGATCTTCAGCCTCCCGATGTTCATGCAGGGCAAGCTGGTTGTTGCTTCCATACCGCTTGCGTTTTGGTTTTCCACCTGCAGCGGGCGCCTTCTTACGCCTGGCGAGGTCCTTGGCCTCTAGGTTGACTAGGTCCGTCATGATTTTTCGCCAAGTGGTATGGTCTTCGAGTCCTAGCAGGGAGAGGTATTCTTTAGGGGCCACTCCCATGAATACATCCATACAAGACACGTCGGTCATTCCTAGATCTGGAGTGGTGAACAAACCAGTCAAGTGCTGTTCCAAAGCCTGCATGGAGGACCTCCATGTTTGGCCCTTGAGGGCCTCAAGCTTCAGCCTAGCCTTGAGCGCAGCATGCTTATCTTGGTACCGTGTGATAAGAAGATCCTCAAGGGCGCGTACAGGAGTTACTTTCAGCCACTCGGTCAGGTCAATTCTTTCATAACCTGCAGCAACAGCTTGGAGCTCAATGTGATTCCGTACGGCGGGCTCAGTATTAGTGCCCATGATCATGCTTCGGTCTTCCTGCGGTGTCCGCATGACCTCGAAGTATGAGCGCATGGAACTAATCCAAGAGGTGATATCCGCTTTCCCGTCGTACTTGGACGGCAAGGTGGCCGCCCGCTTGTCCACTACGGGACCGCTGTACTGAACGCCAGTAAGGACTGTGGCGTTTTGGGCTGATGTCCCTGAATTTGGGACTATGACTAGTGCAGAACTGCCGGCGCTGCCGCTCGAGGAGCTGGCACCGGTTCCTGCGCTCTTCACAGTTCCACTTGCTCTTGCCATGATGACTGTGTTAGATTGAGAGACTTGGACTGCAGCAGGTCGAGGGTTAGGAGGGCGGGGGGTAGACATTTGGGACTGTTTGAGGCTGAGTATCTCAGCCTGCAACTCTTGGTTTCGCTGCTCTAGTGCTGTCACACGGGACTCAAGGTCTTCCAAGGTCCACAGTCGAACCAAGGCTGCTACGGCAGCAGCTAGTCTCTCCTGGAACCGGTCATCATTGGCTTCCGGGATCCGAAGAAGAGCTTCCTGATCAGCAATGCTCGTGGCTCTGGCTGCTGCCTCTGCCTCCCTTTCCCTCTGCACGACGTCGTTATAAAGCTTTTGGAAGAACGGTTTCTCGTTCTCGTCCGCTGCGTTCAGCATGGCCTGCCATTGGGCAGATGTGATGTCCGCCATGCTGGAGGAAGGGGTGTTAGTAGATCTCTCAAGAGGGGTCCTCCTTACGTTTGGACGAACACTCCTCTTGCCCTTCCTCACACTCTCAAACAGAACACCTTCTCTCTCCCTTCTCTCTCTTCTTGCTGTCTGCGCACGCGTCTCAAAAGCGGACATAGATAGTTCAGATGAAAGAAACAAGCAGAAAATCACACAGAGAAGAAGGTAGAACTCCTAGCCGGAGCGGCGATTCATTTGGACTTAGAGAATGACACGCAGCAGAATAAATCAGCCGGAGCGACATGTATCACAATAAATCAGCCGAAGAAAACTAACTGCAGCAATGGAGATTTCGAGGGGTGCAGACGGTTGCCGAGCCAGACGCGGGGCAGTATGTGATAACATGCAGTAAGACCAGTCAAGATCCCCTTGAAAGGAATGCCCTTGCTAGCCGTATGTCCCCCAAGTTCAGCGCAGCAAAGAGATGCACAGGCGGCAACAGATTTGTGCCCGAAAGGTCATGTCCCGTTGGGCCTGGTCCCATTGGGTCCCGAGGGGTCCCAAGTAGGTCGTGGACCAGGACCAACGTGATAGGGGTACCAAGTCGGTCCCAAACTGCTTCTACCGTACTGAAAAGGAAAAGACAACTTTCAGCAAGAACTTACCCCTACAGCCATTCAGAAATGAAAAGACATTGCACCGTAGAAAGATATGTCGTTTAGAACAGATACATCATCCATCCATCCATCAGGTGAGAAAGCAATCCACATGCTCACACACACAGCCAAGACCGCAGAGAAGAGGAAGAGAGCCCAACACTCCCCCAAAAGGCCATGAAGCACCAAGCAACCTCCCACGGGCTAACCAGGTCACATGGCACTTACCTGTGAGGCCCGGCCTCCAAGATGGATAATGACTCACCCCCCTCTCTCATAAGTCCTCCTGACCCCTAGCTACCACTACACGAGGTGTCCTAGCATGACTAAGAGGGCCTTCCTACACCCCTGTTGCAAAGCCGGATCCCCTGTCAATGTCTGAAGACCAAAGTAGCAACTTGCAGCAATTCGATGCAGATATGGCAGCCTCCGATCAAGTCTCCCTCTTGAGGGGAAGCCCAAAAGTCACTCAATGTCTTCTTGAAGTGCAGATTCCAGGTGCGAGTWCCTCTCACTCTCTACTCCCTCTCGCTTACTCCAATCAGCCTCCTTTGTGTCTCGCCACCCCATCCATTCACTCAAGCAACCTGGTCAGGTCTAATGTCGACCCTACATGACCTAACCAGGTGGGGGCAGTATCCATACCTCACTGCCCCACTTAACCCTAACTTCCTAACCCTAATCCGAGATTAGGTTAGCCCTAACCAAATTCGGAATTAGGTTTAGGGTGACTAACACCTCTCGCCAGCAAGTAAGTCCGCTCCGATGCCAATTGTTACGATCCTGGTCATTTCCCAAGTACAAATTCACAATGAAAGACAATGCCACCCAATTGCGAAAGAAATGAAAGCACTTCCAAAGAGATAAAGACCAGAGGAGAGAGAAAGAAGAAGAAGAAGAAGAAGAAGAAGAAGAAGAAGAAGATTTACACCAGCAAGACCAATGACAATTCCCCCCTTCTCTCTCTCCACCTTCCTCCTCCTGCTTCACTTCACCAATCTTATTCTTCTCTCATTAATAATAATAACAATGAATGGATGAACCAGAATCAATATCCGAAGCTCCCTCTTACTGCTGACTCAACTCAACAACAACAACAACAACAACAACAACAACAACAACAACAACAACAACAAGTCCACCATAGCTATGGCTTCCCTCCTTCAGCCTCCTCTCTCAT